ATAAATTCAAGGGACACTAAATTGGTGGTTCCCATCTTATCTGAACTAAGTCTCCAAAGACAAACTCTTTGATTTTGATCGGAAGACCGAAAGACGATGAGAAGTATCGAGACGTTGAATTTTCAAGTTCGTGACGTAGGACACACCATCTAGAAGTTCTTCACATTGATTTTGAAAGACTCATTCTATGCTGCCTTTTGATTAGGATTTGAAAATTGTTTGATCTTCTAACAATTTATATAAAAATATTTGGGCCCTTGACCCCTAAAGCCTGCCCATATAAAAAGATACAGGCTCATTATCCTATAAAATATAATCTATAAAAATCTATAAAAATCTATAAAAATCTATAAAAATCTATAAAAATCTATAAAAATCTATAAAAATCTATAAAAATCTATAAAAATCTATAAAAATCTATAAAAATCTATAAAAATCTATAAAAATCTATAAAAATCTATAAAAATCTATAAAAATCTATAAAAATCTATAAAAATCTATAAAAATCTATAAAAATCTATAAAAATCTATAAAAATCTATAAAAATCTATAAAAATTTATAAAAATCTATAAAAATCTATAAAAATCTATAAAAATCTATAAAAATCTATAAAAATCTATAAAAATCTATAAAAATCCATAAAAATCTATAAAAATCTATAAAAATCCATAAAAATCCATAAAAATCTATAAAAATCTATAAAAATTCATAAAAATCTATAAAAAATCTATAAAAAATCTATAAAAATCTATAAAAATCTATAAAAATCTATAAAAATCTATAAAAATCTATAAAAATCTATAAAAATCTATAAAAATCTATAAAAAATCTATAAAAATCTATAAAAATCTATAAAAATCTATAAAAATCTATAAAAATCTATAAAAATCTATAAAAATCTATAAAAATCTATAAAAATCTATAAAAATCTATAAAAATCTATAAAAATCTATAAAAATCTATAAAAATCTATAAAAATCTATAAAAATCTATAAAAATCTATAAAAATCTATAAAAATCTATAAAAATCTATAAAAATCTATAAAAATCTATAAAAATCTATAAAATTCTATAAAAATCTATAAAAATTTATAAAAATCTATAAAAATCTATAAAAATCTATAAAAATCTATAAAAATCTATAAAAATCTATAAAAATCTATAAAAATCTATAAAAATCTATAAAAATCTATAAAAATCTATAAAAATCTATAAAAATCTATAAAAATCTATAAAAATCTATAAAAATCTATAAAAATCTATAAAAATCTATAAAAATCTATAAAAATCTATAAAAATCTATAAAAATCTATAAAAATCTATAAAAATCTATAAAAATCTATAAAAATCTATAAAAATCTATAAAAATCTATAAAAATCTATAAAAATCTATAAAAATCTATAAAAATCTATAAAAATCTATAAAAATCTATAAAAATCTATAAAAATCTATAAAAATCTATAAAAATCTATAAAAATCTATAAAAATCTATAAAAATTTATAAAAACCTATACAAATCTATAAAAATCTATAAAAATCTATCAAAACCTATAAAAATCTATAAAAATCTATAAAAATCTATAAAAATCTATAAAAATCTATAAAAATCTATAAAAATCTATAAAAATCTATAAAAATCTATAAAAATCTATAAAAATCTATAAAAATCTATAAAAATCTATAAAAATCTATAAAAATCTATAAAAATCTATAAAAATCTATAAAAATCTATAAAAATCTATAAAAATCTATAAAAATCTATAAAAATCTATAAAAATCTATAAAAATTTATAAAAATTTATAAAAATCTATAAAAATCTATAAAAATCTATAAAAATCTATAAAAATCTATAAAAATCTATAAAAATCTATAAAAATCTATAAAAATCTATAAAAATCTATAAAATTCTATAAAAATCTATGAAAATCTATAAAAATCTATCAAAATCTATAAAAATATATAAAAATAAATATATAAAAATCTATAAACATCTGTAAAACTTTATCAATTTGACTAATGCTAATAAATTGTATTGTACTTTATTTTCATATTTTGATTCAGTTCTCGTTTTAACACGCCCAAAATCTTCCAAACCATGACGAAAAAAAAAACATTACAGGCCATTGATATTCATGATTAAAAACGAAGTAAATGACCCATTCAGTAGGTAACATTTTAAACTACTACACCATCTGACAAGTAACAATCAGCCAGTAGAAGTTTGTATAATTAAAAGATCATTAAAAAATCCTCTACTTTACTTTTAACTTTTAATAATACACTTTCATACCTTTTAATGACACCCTACATGTAACATATGGATTTTCAAAGCATAAGAATAGTCATTAAAAGGTTTTGCATAACCGTTTAATTACATTTTCAATTATGCAAAAAAAAATCAATGATAAAGAGTCGGTGATTTTCTATCGATGAACCACTACATTAAAACCAACTTATCCGAAAAATAATGGAATAATAGTCCAAGAAACATTGTTAGACACTTCGTAATTTAGTTATAGTTTTAACATTCAAATCTATTATAAATTTGCAGTGAATAATGGGAATTTAGTCATTTTACTTTCAAGAAAACCATAAAACCTACTATTTGGTTTCCATTAAAATTATACGCAGAATATTTTTTGTAAGCATATTTTAAACGAGAAATATTGTAGACTTTGCTTCTGATGCTATACAGGAACTAAAGATTTTGATGCAAAATGAGAGCATTAATCAAAACATGCTTAGGTTGCTATTTATTTCCGAAATACTCGGTGTTACAGCTGATAATTGAAAATTATCAATGACTATAATTTTTTATTACTCAGTATAATTTTACTAAATTCGGCAAACGTTTTTGGTGCGCTAAGTAAGGGGTTTCATAATGAAATACACATTCTTATGGTACCTTCCTTTCGTCTTTCTTTCTCGTTTCCTTCTGCCTTTTTTGGCATTGGATAGGGATCTATTCTTTTCTTGGACCCATTACTGTTTTATGTTCCTGGTAAGTTGCTTCATCTATATCAACGATTTCTCTTCGTCAATTCCGATCTCTTCAATCTGGTCAATCCTTCCTCCTGATCCTTACTTGTTACATTTTTCTTGATCTTCCTATTTCCATAATTTTTCTTGCTGTTTTGTCTGATTTCATTCTTACAAGGTAACCAGACGAGTTTAATTGTTGCTTTCTCATTACTGGTTTATGTTTAGTTAGTTTTCATATATCTTCATTTCTTAATTTCTCAATTTTAGTTTCCATTGCATTTATTTTTGTCTCATGTGTTTCTGTGGTACCCAGTTTTCGCTAGCATAAGTTTTAGTTAATAGATACAGTAATTTTAATTTTTGAGTCTGTATCAATTTCTTTATGTTCTATAATTCGGGACACACTGAGAATGTAGTATAGTCAGGCATAGGCAATGCATTTCTAATGGGAGTCCGATACAATGTGTTGCCGTCTTTCCGATAGCTGTGACAGGGTCGGCCTAGTAGTAGTCAACGGCCAAAACAATGTTTATACGGGTTTTTAAGTATACTTTAATACGTTCGATGATTTCCCGGAAAATTCCGGACAATTTATCATTCTCAGCGCATTCCAGACAAACCTCAAAATTCCGGACGTCTGGTACCCCTACCTGGAATCAGGTCTATCGAGCATGCGCTAAATAAAAGAGTCACTTGTGCTTTGGAATGGCAACCTATCTTAAGTCTCGAGTCAGTGATGGTCGTTAGGTCTTGTAAAAAAAATCACGTTTTACTAGCACCATACTACTATCTCAGATTTTTAAGCTACTGTATTCATATTTGAACTGTTGAACTACTTTTAAATGGTTTTTAATCTTTAGGTCGAATAAAACATTAGTATGTACATACAATTTGTGTTATTTTTTAGTGCAAACAAGACCTCTTTAATATATGGCAACTGTCATTATAGTAGCCATGGTCCTTTAGGGTCTGTAGCTGCTATAATATACATCCCAAAGTTGATGATGCTTCTATTCCCATAGTAAAAAAAGATAAAAACAAAATACCTACTTATTATTATGCATTAAAAAATGTACTATACGAGTATAATATATACATTAATACGACCAGATATAATTCTTTCTTCAAAAGCTCATCTCAATAATCCCACACATGCATCAATGTTTTTATTCAGACGACCTTAAACTTACACGGTGTAATGAAACGCGATGATTTTTCAATTTGTCTGCGCATTACGTATGCATTGAACTAAATAAAACGCCTCTTCATCTAACGACAAAACATACAATTGAGTAATAACTTTGAAATGACGAAAGTAACTACGAACCGATAAGTCTGAAGTCTGACAACAGATTGAATACTGCCTAGTCATTACACTACAATTATTCAAAGTATTCGATTAACTAGAGGATCGGCTCTAAAAAGCGTAGATTTAACTTGGACATTGTAATACCTTAAAGGGTTGAAAGATTATTAGAAAAATGTTTATTTGTTTGATATTTTCCTATTGCTCCTAAAATGATTATCTTTAAATGGAACTCTAACCAAAATAAAATTAGATTCAACCTTTTCCTGTTTCACAATTCACTGCTTTATTTTTTTTGCATTATTCTCTTATTAACCCTTTTTCAATTTCCAGTATAAAATGACATTCTTATAATGTGCCCCAGCCACCTGGCTCTTTGTGATCTTATCACATGAGTAATTTCTGACCGGGTATATAAAGTTCTTTCGGTTTTACTCGCTTTCACTCCTTCGTACAATTTTCCGCTTCGTTAAACTACACTCTTATCTTAATTGACCTTGATATCTCGTTATCCCTATTTTAATAATTTTAGTTAATGTTAATCTGATATATTGAAATTTTCAAATGTCACGTTTCTGCATATTTAAACCCAAGCGATAGAACATCGACAATTTGATAAAATTTGTAAAAAAACGATACAGTTATTTCTAAAATATATATAGTATGAATGTGTCTTACTATGAATTAATATTATTATCTTTGTTTTTAGGTCTTTTATGTCATTTGGACGATGCTTGCACCAGCAATCCATGTCATGCAGACGCCATTTGTGATACGAGTCCCATAAATGGGTCTTATACTTGCAGTTGTGCTTCTGGATATAAAGGAATCGACTGTTCAGAGGACATAGATGAATGCGAACAAGGTAAGTCCAACAACAGATAATTCTTATAAATAGTATTATATACGTCAGTTATGACAAAAGTGTAATAGCTCACAACCATGTCATTTTTCATTAGTACAGCTTACTTGTTAGTTTCTGTTGAAACTGATCGTAGCCAAACCGTTATATTATAATGTAGTTTTCTATACGCTTATGAGATACACAATATACAACGCACGTACAAGTAATGTGTAAGAACTTAAACATTGATACAGACACCAAAAACAAAAGATCTGCCTCGCAATCATTATGCATGCGCTTGAAAGCACGTCCTGGTCGACATTTCTTTGAATCGCATGCGATTCATGGAAGAGTCAATGTCTTAAAATCTCTTTTAATTCAAAAACTTGGTTTAAAAATAAATTTAACTGTTTAAGAGTTGCAGCCGAACATAAAACAGGATGGGGTTAAAACCAAGGAGACCAAGAGTCGAATGTTTAAAACATTAAAATGCCCGTATCTCACCTTAAATGTACTTTTATCAGGCATAATTTCCTAAGTTTTGATTTTTACGACAAAAATGTTTACACAGTAAAATAAAAATTAATGATCACGCAGTGACATGCAGTTACGAGAGTATTTACGCTCTCCATTCGAGCAACAAAGTACTAAGTGTGCCTTTTTATTTTTAGAAGTTTTGTAAAAATTACACTTTTAATTTAAATAAATGTGTATGACTGCAATATGACGTTATGTTAGTAATATTAATGTTTCAAAAAAATGTAATTTAAAAATTATGTTTGTAATTCTACAATAATTATATAAATGTGGGTAATGAATCATAAAAAGAATATTATTATTATTATTATTATTATTATTATACGTTAGTAAGTAAACATATTTTTGTTAATTGTAGTACGGTAAAGCACATCGGCAGTCAAGAGCGGGGTGTGCGGGGAACTGATGCGAACCGTAGTCAGCGCTCCTCCAGGCAGAACGATTTGAGTCTCCTTGAGTGTCTAATGTGATCAGCTGTGGTTGTTGGCTGATTCTCATGCATTGTGTTCTATCGGTAATCACTTGATAACTAAATAATTATTTGACTTGATAATTAATAAAATCTAACATATATCAAAACTACTACTTTGAAGGCGCTTAGTATAGAAGACCGTCTTGGAATATCTTTCTAGCCTTCATAGAAAACATATCATACTGTACGTGTAACTTGTTGCTAAAAAGTAAAAATCTATATAATTAATAATTTTCCCATTGTTTATCTTATAGATAACTAGCCTTCCTAACAGGTATCTTTTAGTTCTTTTCTTTCAGACTCATTGAATCTAGCGCATTATCTATTTTAGGCTGCTATTGGTTGTACATGAAAAATAAACTCTTATCTTTCAATGTATGTCATGTGTCTTGATTGTTTATATTGTTGATTGTTTTTCTGAATCTTCTCATTTATTCCAGAATTATATTATTTCACATTTTGGAATCTATTGTTTTTCTGAATCTTATCATTTGTTCCAGAATTATATACTTTCCCTAAATAAAATAAAAAATAACAATTTTGATGCGACAACCTTACAGATTATATTTGACCGTGGTCGTTTCCGTATTTTTTATAATTATTTGTTTTTTCTTTGATATTATGTAATTATTTTATTAGAATCCCGAAAAAAACTCGTTAATAATGTTTGACATATATGTACTCGTATATTACAATTAAATCTAATAACTTTTCTCAATCCAACGTTATGTTGTGTTCATTTATTGTGTTTAATATCTGCCACTAATGAAATACCTAGTATCAACGGTTGTTAGAGCATCGTGTTAACGTAGCCAAACAGGGTAAAGAAACCCTGCTGTTTGAATGGGTTGGATTTTTTTCAAAATACCCAACCATTGTGAGGTACAGACCATTTTATAAACATAGATACGCACAATGAGTAGGTGGATTTTAGATATACAAATGTCAGAATAAGAAATGAACAATCATGAGAAAGATATGTTGATGTCTGAACGAGTTTCATATGGTTATTTTTAGCTTTTATACTAAATAGTAGGAAGAAGACTTGCGAAATAAATATTAAAATAGGCCTATTACTGATTACAGATATTAATGGCGCATGACAAAATAGAGCAAGGACAAAATAGCACAAGACAAAATAGCGCTAGGACAAAATAGCGCAGGACAAAATAGCGCAGGACAAAATGGCGCAAGAACAAAATAGCGCGTAACGAACAAGATATATATTTTAATTAATAAATTCATTAAAATAATGCGTAACAAATACAATTCCGACAACGTCTATGTAGAGCATGTTTGAACTGTAGGTCCGTCTTTTTCACATTTTTGCATGCGACCCATTTTAGCGCGAAACAATTTCGCGCGGGTCAAATTTGCACCGAGAAAAATACATGAGAAACAAGTTAGCGCGCCTGATATAAATAATGTGAAACCAATTAACGCCTAGTCTAATTATAGTGAATTAAGTTAGTACTTTTTCATAAAAGAGTGAAACACATTAGCGCGTGACAAAATATGTCAGTATTCTAATTAAAATTAAAAAAAAAAACTTAAACTATCTGTACGGACTAGAACCATGGTAGGTTGTTGTATATGGTTCCAGGCCGCACAGGTTAGGTGAATTAGTTTTTTTTTTTTAATTTTAATTAGAATACTGGAATATTTTGACACGTGCTCTTAGGTCCTGCGCTATTATGTTATCTGCTATGTTGTCCTGCGCTAACTTTTTCTTGCGTTATTTTATCCTTGCGCTGTTTTGTCCTGCGCCATTTTATCCTGCGCTTTTTTGTCATGGAGCAGATATTAATATACTCGTTGATAATTTGACTCAAAATTTACAATTATTTGAAATCTGTAAACGAAGTTATATTGGAAATTCGAAAATATTATGGCAAAGTGCAAAATAACTTTTTAATCCTAGAAATGTTACTATGTTTAATGAAACATACTATATTAAATCAAAAATTACACAATTACTATCTGTATCTGTAACGTGTGGAGGGTGGGTTACCCCCACGGCACTTAGGCTTCATTAGGCCCATACACAATTACTATAATCAAACTTAAATTTAAAAGTAAAAATATATACAGTATTGGTCATCAAACATCTTCCAATTACCCTTGGCAAAAGTGTGGTAAAAACTACAGAGAGCCAGCACTAGAAATTGAACAATACCAGCCTATACGGTCTGGCCAACGTTTCAACGTGGTCGGTTCGTATAAATGGCACCATTGACACCATTCCTTTTCCACTAGCTCGAAATCGGACCTTAGTCAAGTTGGTACAATGTATGATTATTGATTATTAATAAACTAAAACGATAGGAAATTATTACATTACGATTGATATAATCTTAGTCATGGACAGTATAGAAAAAAGTGATAAACGCATATGTAGTAAACGAGAAAGTGTTTAGGGAGTCCAACAAGGTAGTATTTTAGGAGTTCTTTTATTTATTATTTACTTAGACGATATCTACAAAATTGCTAACGATTCTTATGTCAGCTTTTTGCCAGTGACACCCTAATTACTTATCTTACGCAAAAATATGATTAAAATTGTTAATTTTCTTAACAATAAATGAGTTAGTCTTATTGTACAACTAGTTCAGATTCAGAATAGATTTAAATTAAATACATCCAAAACAAAATGTATGGTTCAAAATTTAAATGTAGAGAACATAATTTTCGGGATTTAAGGATAATGTTTAATTGCACTTACTTAAGGGGTTATCATAGATCCCCAGTTAATATTTAGCAATTATGCATACTTACACTCGTATAACTTAAATAAAAAGTAAGGAAAAAAATTGGTTTCTTTCGCAGAATTTTGAGTGACTTATCAATATAGGCCGAGCACTTAGTTTTTAATACGATGATTTTATCTCATTATAATTATTGAGGTTCTCTAAAAAGTAGTTAATGAGAAAATTTTAAATTGTATCTAGAGTACTGAACTTTAAAATAAAGCATAATCTGTTGCCCAAACATTTTAAACATCAAACATTAATAAAATCAAAGAATAGCCAAACATTCGAATTTTCATTAAGAATATGTATATGACTATCTTCTTATTCATGATTTTGTTATTATATAGCTTAAAGTATTACTACAGTACAATTTTCTTTTTGTAGCTGTACTTAATAAATATATTTTTCTTTCTTACATTCGTTCGTAGTGTCTCTGTTTCGTATCAGTAACCATTATCAATATTTATACTTTTTTCCATATCAGAAACTACATTACCATCCACTTTGGTCAACTTCTTTGTCTTACTGCCTTTCTTTGTAAATATTATCCTTTTCTGTGCAAGGTGTGCCAGAATCTCTTAGGTCTATTATTTTTCATATTTTCCTTTGCTATTGTTTATGACATTGCTATTAATCCATTTATCATCCACATCCCTCCCCATTGTTCTGCAAAATGCATCACAATTATCTAAATTTTTGTATTTTATATCTCTTCGGTTCCACTAATTCAGCCTACTTCATTAAATGTTGGCTTGCTGACGAAATTTTCATATATTCGTCTCTAATTCTCAGGCCTTTATGACACTCACTGTACACGAGGTTACCTTCTAAATTAATATTCTCGTTCACAATGATCTGATCCACAAATTAAACTACTTACCAATACTCTCTTCATATATCTCTAATATATTATTTATAATTCACAGAAGTAAATGGTGGTCTGCCTCAAGAAAGGGTGTTATTACTCATCTTCAATGTACTGTACTTACTATCTTACAAATACCGAAAAATTCCAAATTACCAAACTAACGATGATTCAATCCAAACGACATTCAAGTACATACCTCTTATATCTCAACGACATTTAAGTAGCACAACCTCACAATTCTTTTATAGGACCACTAAGTATTTTTTTAATTGCTCGCAACGCCGCTTCTGTTAGCCATTTAAAATTAAATTCTTATTAGAAATATCGATATTAAAATCTAATCAACGAACAGGCCAATTTACCAAATTAGCGTTATTGAATTAGCTCTTAAATA